GTTTCCACTTGCTGTCTAACTCTGGGCAGAATGTTCCATTGAAAATAAACACGTGGAAATATCACGGCTGTACGGTGGTGCGGTCACTACAAGGTCGACGCACAACCTGGTCACACCATGATCCTTTTCCCATATTCGCTATACTGATTGGTCACTGCGTCATATCGGCTGATCCGTGAAGTTGACGTTCAACGGCTGTGGAAACAAGCGCTAGCGGGCTGTGCCGTCATCGGTTTCACAAGAATTCATAACACCCAGTCGTTTCGGAGCAAATGTGTGCTACTACCACGATTACGTAGCATTGCCGATGATCAAATAACTGTTGGTAATAAGCGCTCGTTCCCCAGCACTTCGGGGTCAGCACCGAGGCGGAAAGTACCGGACACACCAACGGTCAAATTGACACAAGTCGGCAGCTGGGTGCGAGTCATTACGGAATTCGTTGTCGTCGCACGAATGACAGGCACCTTTCGTTCATCGTACACGACCACCGTGAAATTATCGGTTGCACAAGGATTCATGTTGTGCCTCAGAATGATTGCATCGGGTGTCAATTTGTCGTTGAACACCTTAAGGTTTATGGGTTTACCAGGTACTGGAACTGGAAGGTATGAAGACGCTCCCAAGGAAATATCGGCACAAATTAACTAGATGTGATTTCAAGACAGAGCAGATACATGGCCAATGGCATGCCCTTAAATGGTCACGGTAGAACCAATGAATTCAGGCATATCGCGTTATGGAATTTCCTCCAATATATATGTTTATCAGCCTCCATGTAATAGTGGCCCCCTCAACATACGACTGCAATCCCGTGGGATACGATCTGAAGAAAATACGATAGAACAAGTAAGAAAATTCTTATCAACGGGACAGGCCCGCATTCGTACTCTGTGAGTGTGGAACGCCTGAAGAGTGCGCTATCGATTGCCGAGGAATGGAATATACAAGACATCACCTCGGAATTCACTGGTGGTCCCATATCGGCCAGTCCTCAAATGCGAGGTGGGCATCGATCGATGCACTGCATTTCTGATGGACGCCATGGTGAAATGGATGTCAAAACAAATCAACGGTTCGCAGTGTTTGGGAACAAGCAACAAATCACAAGATTTCTGGTCCACTGCGGACTGTCAAGAGAGAGATATCCTATACCGCCGAAACCACCATACAATCTGGGGTGTGTCAAACTACCCACTGTTTTCATAATTCGCAAGGCGAGTGAACCAATCACCAGTGGTTACTCTTATGAGGACGCTAGGCTTCTCTGGAACATTAATGCAGAACTGAGCGCTAAGACTCAGAATAATCGCACACCCAGTTGAGTAGTTGTTTTCCCTTCATAATCAAAACAAACACGTTGCAAAATGTTAACTGAATTTGGAGAATACTATCAGTTTACGGGAACGCGGCAAGTGTGCACGAGATATTCCTGATAACGGAAGATAGTGCTCAGTTCGATTCACTTGATGGTAGATTGGACATTGTACCAGTTCCGTGATGTTCCCCGCCTAATTCACTGATACCAACAACATCATCCACACATAGGTCGACAAATCAGCCAGTTCCGAGCTTTGCTCAATAGAGTTTACGGAATTCAAGTGGGTCCAGTGGAGCTATATACGGTCAGGTTGAACGTGTCCACGCGACAAATGCTTGTGTAATTTCAAGAAAAAAACACCTATACGTAATCAAATGGTTTGCTCAGGGAAACAGGACTCGCTTGATCAATCGACC